TCCCGGCCCCCCGACAAAGCCGGAGCCCCTCCAACCACCCAAAGCGCTCAGCCCCACGCCGGAGCCCACACTCCGGTCAAATTATGTTGGGTCATGGCCTCAACGATTTTCTTCCACTGGGTCATGGGAAAAAAAGTTGGAACCCCCCTGTCCTCTGAGGAGCCCAGAGTGGGGTGGAAGAGGCCTCAGGCCAGGCCAAAGAGGCGCTGGCGACGTATCTCTGGGGACCCAGCTGTGGCATCTGTAAACGGGGAACCGTCCTTGTCTGGGGCCCGGGGCTCCGAGTGGGTTCCGGGGCTTTGCTACGTCTCAGGCGTAAGGCCAGAGGGGTAAAGGTACTTAGGCATCCGCTAGGCATATAGAGAGAACTCACAAAGTGTCCAAGTGACTTAGGAGCCGAACACCGATACGCATCAGGTGCCTAAATACCTTTGAAATTGTGGCCTTTGGAGACTTTTCTAACGTCGCATCTTCCCGCAGGTCCCAACAGGCTCTGCTCACGGGCAGGTAGCGGGAACCCAGCCTCAGTGCGTCTGGGCCTCCTGCCCAGCAACCCCTAAGCTGGCCTCCCTCACGTCTTCGCTCTTTCCCCTCCCAGGTGCCTCTTGCGCAGAATATTTATGGGCTGATCGGCCCCAACGGGGGGCTTGGCTTTGCCATAGGTAAGACGCCAATGTGACGAATCACTCTGCCCAGGATACCTTGGCCTGTAGCCACCGTCCCTGCTCTGCCCCTTGCAAGGCAGGTTTCTCCACGACATAGCCAGCGCCTGAGCCCCAAGTCCAGTGTGAACTCCCAGGGAGCCGAGAACACGCCCTGGACCAGGGGTCACCAGGCAATCGGGATCGACTGGCAGATCTTAGAGCCTCTGACAGGGGATCCTGACTGGTTTGGCCCCGTCGCTGCCAAGTGCCGGCCCTTCAGCTGCTCCTCCTCCCACTGCGGCGCATCTCTGGCGGCCCTTTGCCTTGGGGCTGGGCCCCCCGGAGCCTCCTGCTTGCTGGGCAGGGCAGGGCAGGGGAGAGAGAGGAGGGGGCTGATCCCAGGCTGCCCCCTTCTCCCACCCTGGAGAACCCCCTCCTGCGCCTCAAGCCCCGGCCCTGAGCCCCCTGCATCCCAACATCCTCCCAGAGCCTGTACCTAGAACCCCCTCCTGCGCCTCAAGCCCCGGCCCTGAGCCCCCTGCATCCCAACATCCTCCCAGAGCCTGTACCTAGAACCCCCTCCTGCGCCTCAAGCCCCGGCCCTGAGCCCCCTGCATCCCAACATCCTCCCAGAGCCTGTACCTAGAACCCCCTCCTGCGCCTCAAGCCCCGGCCCTGAGCCCCCTGCATCCCAACATCCTCCCAGAGCCTGTACCTAGAACCCCCTCCTGCGCCTCAAGCCCCGGCCCTGAGCCCCCTGCATCCCAACATCCTCCCAGAGCCTGTACCTAGAACCCCCTCCTGCGCCTCAAGCCCCGGCCCTGAGCCCCCTGCATCCCAACATCCTCCCAGAGCCTGTACCTAGAACCCCCTCCTGCGCCTCAAGCCCCGGCCCTGAGCCCCCTGCATCCCAACATCCTCCCAGAGCCTGTACCTAGAACCCCCTCCTGCACCCCAACTACCGGCCCCAAGCTCAGCTCAGAGCCCCTCACGCTCTAAATCCCTTAACCCAAGACCAGAACCTGCCCCCCAACCCTCTGCTCCAGCCTGGTGAAAGTGAGTGAGGAGGAGGGAGTAGGGAGGATGGAGTGAGCTGGGGCTGGCCTCAGAAAGAGGTGGGGGCAAGGAGCACAAAGGAGGCGGGGCAAATATATTTGGGGTTGAGATAGATCTTGGATTGCACTTCCATTCAGAAAGTGATCTCGTGCTTCAAAAGGTTGGAGACCCCTTGCCCTAGACCTTGCTCTCAAACATGCCTCCGTATCACTCAGCCCCAATGGGTCTGGCCAGGAAATAACCTTGTGCTATTGAGCGACCACAGAGCCACAAATACAGGAACAGCGATGGTGCCTTAGGCCTTTCAGAGGCCATCGGATGGAGCTCAGTATTTTGCCTTCCCGCGAAAGCTGCTTTGAGTAGACTCCTGTGTGTTGCACTCAGAAGAGACGCTGGCAGCCCTAGATCCTGGAAACAGCCCGATTTGCTGAGTTCCAGGCCTGGCCAATGCACCCTCTAATCTTTTCCACTCACGTGAGGATTTTTTTCATCCATGTGCGGAATAATGTTATGTGCGTGTGCGAAAGTGCACCACCAATAGAACACGAAATCTAGCCGGCCTTACTGACAAGTGCTGGAGAAATGTTGCTTGCCCTTCTGTCTGCCTTTGGCAAGATTCATTTGAAAAGGGCAACAGCTGACATTATTAATTTTTGCTTTGGGGCAGGGATGGTGGATTCCTCGATGATGCCTATTATGGGATACCTGGTGGACCTGCGCCACACCTCTGTCTATGGCAGCGTCTACGCCATTGCTGATGTTGCCTTCTGCATGGGCTTTGCTATCGGTACGGATTCACGTTTCCCCAAAAGGACGGCCTATGTGGTGCTTTTCCAGCGTGTGTTTTCAGAGCATATGTTCCTAGCACCTCGCCCTAGTGTTGGCTGGAAGTGATTGGCACAGGGCACAGAAACCAGCCCACGTGACAAAGGTGGTTTTTGTAATCTTGTGATGTGTTTAACTGCTCTTTCCATCCAGGTCCATCTACTGGGGGTCTGATCGTACGGGCCATTGGGTTTCCCTGGCTAATGGTCATCATAGGAGTGACCAACATTGCTTATGCCCCTCTCTGTTGGTACCTGCAGAGCCCTCCAGCGAAAGAAGAGAAGATTGTGAGTTTAACCCTATAGCCTGAGGGCTTGATCATCCGGGGGGCTTGCATATGACTGATGCAAATGTGTCTAGAATATTGTAGTCAGCACCTGAAAGATATTAACAAATTGGTTGGCATGCAGAGACATTCAAAAAGAACCCAAAATGGGCTGGGTGGTGGAGGCATTGACACATTGAAGCCAGCTGTGGTAGATCTCTCCGAGTTTGATTTAGCGGGTCTAGTAAAGACCCACTAAATCAAACTCAGAAGGTGTCTCTATTTGCGCCAGTACTCCTGCTCCTCGTGAGGAGCAAAGGAAGCCTACAGGAGCATGTGCTCCCGTCAGCCTACCATGGCGGAGACCATGCAGAAACTCAAATTAAGGCACGTCAAATTAAGACTCAAACTATGTACTTAACGTAGCTGGAGTTGTGTATCTTACTTTGGCCATCCCCTGTCATGTGGACCTGGCCTAAGAGTTAAATCTGTGCTACCGTGGTCCGGTAGACAAAATTGGCCTAGGACTTGAGATCCCTGGTTGTTATCTGGCTCTGCCACTGGCTTGTTGTGTGACCTTCTCCTCTCTGTGCCTGTTTCTCTTTCTACGTCATCTCTAGCTTGATTGTAAGGAAATCTGAGGTGGGGATTGTCTTGCACTGTATGCTTTGCATGTGACTTGCACTGCATCCCCAACACAACAGGGCCCTAATTTGGGTTGGGCCATTTTGCTGCTACGGTACTTATAATATAATATTTCAGCAGTTCTCCCTGTGCCAGGCTCAACTAGCCAAAGGTTCCCCTCTTTGCTCACAAGAGCAAATGCCAACCTCTGACGCTTCTAGCCACTCAACGCTTCTCTTGTGTCTTGGCTAAGAAGCCCCTCCACCCCGCTTTAAAATTCCCCTTTCCCTCTAGTTTGTCATCACTGTGCAAAGTCCGTACACGCTTTGGGGGTGATGGTGGGTCGTTCTCTTCATTTCTTAGCATGATGATGAAATATTATTCTCCCCCTCCTA